CATTTTATAATGAACAACATTCAATTAGGTACATTCTTCGTAATTAATGAGTTAGCAAACATTCAACAACAGGGTGGAATTCTTCAATTTATGTTCTCCTACTTGAATTGACCTATTGTGAAACGAATATTAAAATCGACTTCTTATTTTTCTTGTTTGAGCGGTAGAGTTTTTCGTCCCAATTTTCATCATTAAAGAGTTCGGTAATGAATATTTGAGTTTTATGCTAAAGAAGAGAGAGAAACATAAATTGTTTGAAAATAACCACAGGCATTTCACTTGATCTAACTTAACTTTATATCCCTAAAGATAACAGTCTGTAAAAAACGTGACTACTACTCCACGGTTCATGATGACTGTACAACTATCTTTAAAGAGAATAGCTTTTGCACTAATATATAGCTAAAATCATGTCTTATACCATTGCATTGAAATAAATAATGTCATGAATTAGAGATAAACAGTATGGATGCCATTACGTATGAAACAGTTGAAGTTCATTTCTGAGAGTACTCTGATTAACATGTTAATCCATTAGTCAGTAAGAGATAAAACGGAATTTTTTATGGTCAAAGGTTGGATCAGCATGATTACCTATACAGAAACTGTTTATTGACTGTGATAACACAACTATTCATGTTCACAGTTTAGGGGTTGTGAAGATTGTTAAGTTACCTCAATAGAATGATCAAAGGAGCACATTGCATCACTTCATAATTAAACTATTTAATTTTATCAAAAAGGGGCTCTGTGGATATTTTAGTAATATAATAATTGAATTCATGAGTCAATTAAAGCTAGACAACCATGGAGTTGGTTGAAGCTGGAAATTCACACCACTGAATATTAATTTTGTGATCTACATGTTAAGTGTTCGCGTGCGAGACCGATAAGTACTGTGTTCGAATCCCACGAGCGAAATCGTGACTACGCACTGCTGAGGAGCCCCATTCTGGGACGAAACGCCCGTCCGTTACTTCCAGGTTTTCCATGTTGGTTTCGCTTATAATGACTCATGAATTCAACTATTAAAGTATTTAATTTCATTTATTCTATAAAATCTTGACAAGTAAATTAATTTTCTAGCAACACAACAGAAAATTGAGTTAAGCAGTTGGCTATTCAATCATAAAGGACCTTTGGATTCATTTATTTATATTAACCTTAGTTTAAGCTAAGAATAACTGTAATCACAAGTATGATATGCAGCTACATAGTAGTATACGCTTATATGAATGCCTATACAAGATAATCTAACTTAGTATATTTCCTGTATTCTATTTAGATATGCAATTAATACTAACTTACTTACTTACTCCTTGTGAAGGAGCATATGCCGCTCACCAGCATCCTCCATCCGTCTGCAAGTAGTAACTTACTATATTTTTTATCATTTTCGGTTTGTATTATTAATGTAAAGTACCTACATGTTAAAAGAATTCAACCTTTTTGTTATATCCCCAATGGTAACCGTTGGAATTTATTTCTGGGCTAATACTATGCGCATATTTTTATTGTATAATTGTTAAGTAACTAAACTATTCATATCCGTATCCCTCCTATTATAAGCTTTATTTTGATTCATAGACTATTATCATACGATTTATCATTCTTGAATTATGCCCTGTCTATTAATTACTATCTCCCAAATTCACAGCTACACTTGGCTCATTCTTGTACAAATGTTGTTTCTTATTTTATTGGTACGATGTGGTCTGTCTGGTTTGTATATATACTCAGTATGTTTGAAATAAATGATTTATATTTCAAAGGCTGATATTGATGTTCTGGACTCTAACAGGCAGGGTTAGGCAAGGAGAAGAACCGATAAGGACTCTAGACTGCTCGTACTTGTTTCATGCGTCACTGGTCCGGTCGATAAACCATTTTCTCCGATTGGCGGTATCATAACATTATACATTCATAGAGTACAAAGCCAAAAGGTGTAATACTTTTTTTCTTACAAAATGTTTAATTGATTGTTTTTTCTACAATATCAAATCAATCAATATGAAAATCTAAACAGTTTGAATATTCAATGTTTTAAAACAATAAATTTTCTAGGAGGTTCATTTTAACTCACCCGCGAAATCATCTTTCAATACTTGAAACACAATATTGTGATATGATAGGAATTTTGTAATTAATTAACATAAATGTTAATTAATGATTAATATGAGATGCATAATGGACATTCATACTGTGATTGTATAATGGAATCTTTGAACCAGTTACCTAATTTTATTTTAAATGTTGATTAACACAACTTTAAATGTAGCCATATAAGATTTCTTCAATTAAGATATTATAATCTTATATCATTTTCAATAGGTTTATATTATTTTCTACGAATAAATGAACAAATAAAAGGAATGAAAGTGTTTCGGTATATTTCTGAAAATAGGGTTAATAACATTAATGTTTTTTGTTAGATTATGTCACGCTTTTTCCCGACCATTGCTGCTACCTTAATGTGGTGTTCGAACTTACCTATCGTAATGAACTAATTGAGCTATACCGAGTGTAATAATGGTTGCTCAAGGTCCTACCATGCCAGACAGGTTGGTTGAAGAGCAGTAAGATTAAAAGTAACAAACCGAAGACTCAAGGGCGAAGTTGTACTGTTAACTGTACAAAGGTGTGACGGCAGTAGAGTGTAACCTACAAACAACTAGCATGATAACGATGTTGCCTTTCCACAAGGCGAGATGGGGTTAGAAAAGATCGACCCTAAGATGCATACCTCACATTATCCCATGGATTTCCGCCTCCAGTGGTAAGGTCTCAACACGTGTGGAGCTGAAACGAAAACTATTCACGAAAATGTCGAGTACGACCGACCTTAAGCAGTTGTCGCTTGGGCACTGCAGTCACACCCTCAGGTCACTAAGACCATCCCTAACCCAATTCCCTTTTCAGGTACCTATAGATAAACCTTCCCACGGTGTGGGCAACCGGGAAGCTATAAGCGCTCTCATACCACTAACAGCATTGAAGATGATTGTGTTCATAATTCATCTCAAGTTTTACTTTTTCTCAGTCAAGTTTATGATTTATTGAAAGATGTTGTACAAAAACTCACTCAGTAGGTTTACAGAAACTGGTTTATTATTCTCTTCATTTAAACAATTAAAGTGCTTAGATTCAAAGAAGTACGCTGCATTTTTCATAGATTTAGTTTAAACAATATTCATAATAAATTCAAATTAGGATTCAGAGAATATGAAACATTATGTAAACGAGGTAGTCAGAACATGGTAACTTATGAAATGTGCTTAAATCTAATCAAAAACAATTTTTTAAACACTTCAGTAAAATAGTACGAAACGCACGTCAAACTGAATTTCAGTGTTAGACATTATCCATCTTTAGATGGTGGTTGACAGGGAAACCTGGACCCGGGTTTCGTGCTACATGGCACTCGTCAGCAAGGTGTACCTGTAATCTTGAGGGAACTGGTGCTCTCTGACGGATTCGATCCCGTGTCACCTAGCTTCACAGTCAGAGACGTTACCACTGATCTATCCCAGTTTCCCGTCGACTACCTCCAACCACCATCTAATCTCAATATATAGTGCACGCAGTCTCGAGTCACCTCGACTGATGACCACATTGCGACATGGTCGATAGCATTCGATCTGCACTAAATAAGGAACTGACACATATGACATTGATCACCACTCAGTGATCAATCATTTGTGATTATCCATCTTTACTTATAATGCTTGTGAATGATAGCAATATCGAGGCAATCCGCAGAGTATGCATATATACAAATAAGAGACTTATCAATTACAGTCCTAAACAACAATAAGAATATACAAGTAAACAATATCAAGTGAATTTAATCTTCACTAGGAGTAATCATGGAAACATTTCTATTCTATGTAACTATCATGAATGTTAACAATATTTACGAAATATCAATGTTTATAATCAAGTTCCGTTTCATGTTGAATAGACTATAAACTGAATTGTATAATCTAAAATGAAAATTTAAAAGAAGAATATATACATTTAGAAAATTCAATATATTAAGCTTACATTCAGAATATTCAACTCTGTTATATGCATAATGATGAAGCTTTCCTCCCCCCCATTGATAGTATTGAGAAGAACATACTTACATGAGTTCACTTAGTTTTATTCATTTTACTCATTGAAACGATGTATAAATGATGTTAAACCTTATATACATAAAAAAGACTACACAGATTCCATTCATTTCACTTTTATTTTTAATAATGGTAACTGTAAAAATAAAAAAGAGTTGCTCAATGATGAACTGTATGATGTATATCCAAGTGTACAAGTCAATATATATAATGACATGAAGTTTATTCATTATTTACATTCATGCACACACACACATAGAGAGAGGGGGGAGGATAGAGAGAGGGGAGAACTTACACTGTTTAAAACAAAAGTGTATCTAAGTAAAATTTGAGTAATTCATTGTATAAAATGTAATATTTCAATAGATACATCTTTAGATTAAGAAGAAAGTCATCATCATTACATGAATGGATCATGTGAAATACATCTTTATTTATTCATGGTATAATTTAGCTTATTATTCATATCATTATTAATATAGTAGTACTACTAATATTATAGATTAATTCTCTTGCTCTTAAATGTTCTTTACGACTTTGATGATGTTGTCGTTGAGGATGTCGTTGATGAAGATGTTGGTGTTGAAGATGATGATGATCATTAGTGAATGTATGAATTAAAATATCTATATTTGTTCATAGGATTGTTTATTTTATTATTCATATCATTATTATCATTACTAATATTATTGATTATTTTCTTGCTGTTAAATGTTGTTTACGACTTTGATGATGTTGCCGTTGAGGATGACGGTGATGAAAATATTGGTGTTGAAGATGATGATGATCATCATCATTGAATAGATGAAGTAAAATATCTTTATTTACCCATAGGATTGTCTATATTATTATTCATATCATTATTATTATTACTAATATTATTGATTAATTCTCTTGCTCTTAAATGTTGCTTACGACGTTGTTGTCGAGGATGTTGTTGTCGTTGAGGATGTTGAAGATGATATGAATGATGAATAATTTATTATTATTATTATTATGTTTAATATAACAACATTTATATGATATAATACTATTAAATAATAGAATTTTTAATTTTTTTCTAAATGCATTACTCATAAAACAATAAATTAATGGATTTGACATATTATTTAAGTAATATGTATTATATGCAAGTAAATTAAATTGTACTAATTTATTAGCTGTTAATAATGCTGGTGTAAATACAATAATATAAACAACAGCTACAACAAATAATACACTAGCTGAACGTATCTCTCTCCATAATGTACTTTCTGTTATATTTTTTATGGATAAATTCATTTTGATTCTATTTGTTAAACTTTTACGATGATGTTGATGTTGATGAGGATCATTGGTTAAATGTTCAATGTCATTAGTAGTAGTAGTAGTATTGTTTAAATCATTTGATGAAATGGCACTTTTTTGATTTCTATTTAACATTTTTGTATTATGTATTATGATAGTATTATATGGTATAGTATTATGATTAATCACTGGTGTATAACGTTGAGCACGATGTGTTTTAATAACAACTCGTAAAATTAATGAATATAATATAATAACGGATAGAATTGATAATATAAAACTGGCTGTATTACCTTTTTGTAATATATCATATGTTAATTTTTCTATATAAGTAGCATTTGGTATTTCTGGTGTATCACAACATTGTTTTATATTTGGTTCATCATTTGTTATACCTAAACTATGATGTAATGCACCAAGTATACCATATAGAATACAAAATATAGCTAAACCTAATGTTAAATATTTAGCACGTTTCATTGTTAATATACGACGTAATGGATGACATATAGTAAGATATCTTTCTAATGCAATTGCTATAATTAATAATGAACTAAACATAATATTACATATATTTAAAAATGCATGTGTTTTACACCATATATCTGTTGATGGTTGTAAATGTATATATTCCATATAGAATGTTAATGGTACAACAAAACAACATACCATTAAATCAACACATGCTAATACAAGTATAAAAAATGTTGGTGTACCAGTTGTTTTAGTAAATAATTGTTCATTTGATTCATGAATCTGTATTATATGATTAGAATTATCATTATTCATATCATGAAGATACGATGATGATGATGTTGTTGTTGTATATAATTCATTTGTATTTAACATACTTAATTTTTGATTATAATAAATTTGTCTATATTTTAAATGTAAATGTGGCCAAAAATGTTGTTGTATATAAACACCTAATACAAGTAAATTTCCAATTGTACCTAATAATGAAACAGAACCAAGTAGAATTAATGTACATAACCATATTGGATCAATATTCGTTTCAACAGTTTCATAATATGGAATCGTTGAATTTGAAATATTCATGTATAATATTTTGATATATTTAAATTTTTTTTAAAAATAAATTAAAACATTTTAATATTTAAAAATTATTCAAGAATGTAAATCAGTCAGCTTGTAAAAACAAAAACATTTATATATGTGTATAGATGTTTATTGGCCAATCAAAATGCAAGGTATAATTCAAATATTTTGATTGGTCGAATGTATTCTTTATATTGTTTTGATTGGTTAAAATAATTAACCAATGAAATAAATAGACATTGTATAAACTTATGTAATATGGTGAAACTAAAATGTTTACTAAGTGATTGTAATAAATTTAAAAAAAACTTTTGTTTTATTATAATGAGTAGAAAAATATATTTCTGAAGTTTAACAATAATGTAAATCACTTATTTAGGATAAATAATATTTAGATACAGTTTCTGCAATGGTAAACATGAACTAGTGAGGTGTGTTCTACTTATATTGACATAAGTAGTATATGATGTTAGTCATGAACAGAAGGTCTGGCAGAAGAGAGACAAGAGGATCGAACAGTGAAGAATGGAAACAGAATGCGATTTGTATGAGGATGCAAGAACAAAAAAGTTTTAGTCATTTTGAGACGATTGATGGACATTTTGCAAATTAAGTTTACTATTTCATTGTTAGATTTTATTAATAAGTCCTATAATTTTGTGTTAAATACATTCGATTGTCCCCACTGGTGTTCTTGTTCACTACACCAGGACAAGTGCATCCACTGTCGTGAAACCACTACAGTCTTTAAGATGGTGGAGATCTGTAGTTCAGGTGGATGATTTTGATGAGTTTTTGTTCCTTGATGATACTGATGATGTCGTTCAGAAGAACAATGAAAGCTCCACTGTCAAACCATCCAGCTCAGTGAACAATACTCCATTAAATCCGTTGTGGTCTATCAAGAAAATTCCATATATTTATACAACAGTCAGGTGAAAATCTCTTATGAAATCATATCCATAAAGCTTTATATTAAAGGAAAGTTTGAGTATTAACCATAAATTCTATTTATTACTTTCTAAAATCAAAATGTCCATAGACAAAATAAATTTATTTAGACAAATCCTTAGTAAAGTCTAGAGAATGAATAGACATGAATTTCTGAACATTAATTTTTATTGTAAGAGAAGATACAATGACAGATGAGAAAGAACTACTTTCTTTCCAATTTGATAGATATAAAACATCAAAAATAATCGCAATTCAATCAGTTTACTCCAAGTTCTAGGTACCTTAACATACAAAATAATTCCGTCTGATAGAAATCGGTACAATACCTCTCATAATTTGACTGTCGGTACACATTGTACTTTCATTTATTAACATATCGAATAAATTTGAACATTTTACGGATGATCTGGTGTATCCGATGCCTCTACTTTTAAAATAACCATGTGATTGAAAGTGACATAGATGAATTGATTCTTTAGTTTCTATCAAATCTTAATGTTTGAAATTATAGTAAACTTTAAATTCATATTCTTTTCTCGAATCATGTTCTGTAAGTACAATATGCCTGTGTGATATGATTATTGGGTTGATGAACTTGAATCTAGCTAGGGATGCAGAAGATAGAACAAGCCTCCTTTGAACACATAAAACTTCGGGTTTTACGTCTTCCTGGATAATATTTCTTACATTGTTATCAATTCCATAATTTCTATACTAAAAATGTATGCATTTTGCGTGTCTAAAAGTATAATTTGTGCTTTTCACTCTACTGGTTAATTAAAATATCTGATTGAGATCATGAACCGAATGACGTTAGATAACCATTGAAAACCTGGAAGGATTGAATGGCCGTTTCGTCTTATTGTGAGACTCTTCAGCAGTGCGCATCTACGACCCTGTGCGCGGGATTCGAATTCACGGCTTTCAGTCTTGCCCTCGAACGCACAACCTACTGGATCACTGAGCTGGCCATCATCCAACGGTGTTAATGTCTAACTTCAACCGATATACGAAATTTCGTGACTATCTTCCATTGTACTGAAGTAGATAATAATGAATAGCTTCGTGAGGGAATTCTTGGAGTTCTAATGAGATGCCGTGACCAGTGGAGCTAATTCGTGTCGGCAGAGACAAGTATCTCCCTTAAACAATAGAAGATAATCGCGAAAGTTCGTGGATTAGTTGAAGTTAGACATTAACATCGTTGGATCTAGAAAGTAGGCGTTCAGGCGCGAGACCAAAGGCCTTAGATTCGAATCTCGCGGTCGAGATAGCGAATGTACACTGCTGAGAAGTTCAACATTAGGACAAAACAGCTGTTCAGTGCTTCTAGGTTTTCAATGGTCGTCTAACATCAATCGGTTCGTGATCTCAATCAAAAACAAAATAATCTCCACAACTTTATACTTATAATTAAAATCTCATTTTAAACCACTATAAGTAATATAAAGTCTGTATTAAAATATCAGTTGAATAAAAAGGTTATTTCACTTCTGTTTTTACATCAACTAACAGCTTGATGAATAATTTAACTTACATATAATCCTTTTAAAAAATCCAATCAGTTTAACAAAAAACAAAGAAAATAGAGAGAATGCGAATATAAGACATTAAGTAGACTTACCACACCGTGCAATGCTAAATGGTGTTGAGGATGGTCGGAAGAAATGTAGGGTGGCCAAACCAAAACGTGGAATCAGTCCAAAAAGTCATTAACTTCTAGTCTGAGCCATGTAGGTAGATGCAGACTACTTGGTTGGGATCCGCGTGACTATCGTAACCAATGGTTGTAGACTGTGGGTGACATTGCTCAGAATCGATCACAATGGTGTAGGTGAATACACTCTCTGTCTTCCCTTAAACTATGAGGATAAAATCGCTTCATATCTTTCTTTCTACGAACTAATTTTTCTTCCTATACTATATCCTTATACACAATCTTTCTTTTATATATTATCACCTCTGAATTAACTACTTTTATGAATTTGGTGTCCATCTTGTTATGTTAATGAGGTATGACAACTTGGATAGATGCACATATATGCCTGGTCCTACGTTGTAGCTGACTGACTGATTAACATCGACTAGTAATAACTCATTCAAAGACATTTCTCGTTGTTAATGAACAGGAATAAAAATCAAAATTAGCTAACCATCATTATTTACCTATCAGTAGAAGAAAAATCAAATATCAATAATCCAATATAAAAAGAAATATCAAAAATTGATCCAAATTTTTATAATGGCTTGTTGTATAGGTGTAGTAGTCATAGGTTTCCCTTCCCTTCCCCTCCCCTCACCCCACCCCCAAAAAACAAACATCATATTTTCATCAAGACTTTCATTTATTTAAGCATAAAGTTAATTTATCTTACCTGCTGTGACTAAAAGTATGAAAGAAAAACAAACTGACTTAATTGAAACAGCTAGTAAAAATGAAGAAGCCTTGATAAATCCTACTATTTTACCACATGTCTATATAGTAATATGCAATAGAGACTGGTTATGAAATAGCACAAATTGACAGAAGTTAAAAGTATGTATAGCATAATAATAATAACAGAATGGTTCAAATGCAATTAGATCATTATTAACTTTCAAGATTCTCTCTGAGATGAATATGAAGATTTTTTGTTCATGCAAACAACAAAAGGCGGCCTGCTTGAGCATCTGGGCTACCTGTTACTGCCATCTAGATATTTCAACAAGTTATCTATTTTTGTTTGTTTAATATATGTCATTATGTCTATTCATCGCATAAGCTATCCTGGTGCATTTCTGAAAAGTGTACAACCTTTCGTTGTCAAAGTTACAAGAAACTCAATAAGAACCAATGTGGTTGCTGGCAATATACAGCGAAAAGAATGCACATTATTCAGATGTTCATTTAGTGAACTGCTAACATCTAACTGGCGATCACTCAATATGTTATCGTCAGGATCGACCAAGAAGAAAGAAACGAAAACTTGTTGAAATACTTTACGCTGAGAATTCTATATTGTACTAAAAATGTAATGTTGAATAAAGCTGATGATGATAATGATAATGAAGAAGATTCGTTGTTCAGATGGATGATTTTGATGAAGTTTTGTTCTCTCAGAACACTGTTAACATACGTTCTCTCTCACAATCTCAATTTGTTTTAGAATATGCTTAGATTATATCAGTGAACAGACATTTGATAAGGTTTCATCTTACTTTAACAAGAGAGAAGCATATTTACAATTGAAGAAAATCTGGAACTCAAAACCACTTTCTGTCAACCAACAACAAAGTCAGAATTTTCAATACAAATGTCAACACAATTCTACTGTATGTGGCGGAAAGTTGGAGAACTACTAAATCTATCATCTGGAAGATACAAGTGACTATCAAAACCTGCCTAAGCAAAATACTTTGGATACGTTGACCAGACAATATCAGCAACAACCTACTATGAGAGAGAACAAATCAGATTACAGAGGAAGAAGTGCTGGCAGTGGATAGGACACACATTGAGGAAAGCACACAACTGCGTCACAATACAGGCCCTCACACGGAATCTTCAAAATCAAAGAACAGGCGAAAGATCAAAGAACACATTACACAGAGAAATGGAGACAGACGTGAGAAGAATGAACAATAACTCGATAGAACAAGAAATGAAGATCCAGGACAGAGTGAGTTAGAGAATACTGGTCGGTGGCTTATGCTCCATTTGGAGTAACAGGTATAAGTAAGTAAGTAAAGAGATTGAAGGAGATGATTTAATTGTCATGTTTATATAATTGATGACACAAATCAATTACATAATTATACATATTTATTTTATAATTAAATAATTCAATTTTATATCTTTCTTTAAAGTACATTTCTCATTCTTTTTTTCAAAAAAAAAGTATTTTAGTCTCAGTTCATTTATTTGAAAAGTTTGCTTAAATCAAATTAGCGGTTCACGTACAAAAACAAACAAACAAACAAACAATAAACAGAGCGTAACTTTCATGAATATCACTGAAAAACAAAACTGAAATAACTAAAGTTGTTTAATGGTTTAATTAATCATCTAACTTAATTTGGAATTTCAATCGAATACATTTACAGAATACAGAATTATTGAAAGTAAATCT